GCTGATAAATAAATTTTAACTATGCTGAATCCTATCTTAAAACTTACATCTTTTGAAATATATGTTAACACTCTCTTACCAATTTAATGTGTTACATACTGTTATGCCAAGATTTAGAATGAATAAATTCAAAGATTTCCCTAGTTAGCATTATCTTGACCTACTCCCAGTCAACATGTTTATTTTTACTGCAGGGACATAGCTATTATTTCGGCATTCCATATAATGAAGAAATGACATAATGAATATAAGCTCTTAAGGTTTTACGTGAAAGCATCCTTTAATTCTTGGGTCAAAATTCACATTTTGCCTTTATTATTATTATTTTTTTTTAAGTAATCTCTACAGCTGACCTGGGGCTTGAACTCACGACCCCAAGATCAAGAATCACATGCTCTTTAGACGAAGCCAGCCAGGCGCCCCTATTATCTGTATTTTTAATTACAGAGAACTGTGTAGAACTTAGAGTCCTTTTAATAAATATAAAACTTCCAAAAGCAACAATATTAGAAAAATAACCAAAGTTTATAAAAATAAAATGCAATTAAAATAGTAAGTTCTCAGCTTTCTTATATAATTATAAGGAATAGTTTATGGAACTGTACAAGGCATTTAATACAAAGGTTTCCTATTTGGAATAAATGTTTTTAAAAATTGGGATTCCAGAATCGATCCTTGACCAAAGGTGGGGTCTTTGACCAAGGGTGGGGTGTTGGTTGGTTTGATCTGTACCTTTTTGGGGCCTGGCATTTGTTAATCAGCAAGATTTAAAATGACAACTTTTTTTCCCCTTTGAGGCCCTGATCACCGCCCAGTTCTAATTTAAACGTTTCCTGGTAGCTTGTTTCTATCAGTCCAAATTGTAGTTTTCTTTTTGGTTTTAAACCAATAATAAGAAGGATTATTGGCTTCAAACTGTTTAATTTACTTAACAGTTAACTGCATATGCCAATAGTCACCCTGACACTTTCTGGCTTAATAAACATACCACAGTCATTCAAATAGTTAAAGAATGTTACAGCTTTTACTAACAAAAACCTCATGATTTCAACCAAATTTGTATTTAAACAATTTTTCTGGGGACATTTTTTTCAAACGGATGGTCATTCTTGAGACCCTGGGCTCTGTGAATATCATTTGTTTTAGCACTCCCAACACCGACATGGAGGGAACAGATTCTCTTACATGTAAAGCAGAGACTATGTACTTCAGTTGCTAAACGTGAACTGTTTACAGTTACAGCTATTTAAAATTCAGCATCTGCTAAACGCTTCCCATTAGACTAAGCTCCCTTCACAAACTATCCTTCTCAGCTCTGGCCATCTGATTGAGTTCAGAATGCTTTCCCAAGGCAGACAGAGCTAATGTCAGTAGGACAGGCTTCCCCTGGGGAGGAACAGTTAATCTATTTAATGGGGGAGGACAGGTCCTCTGGGGGAGTGAAACTCTTTTGGTTAACACTCTGCCTTGTCCCTAAACCATCATTTCCAGGGCATGCCTCCTAAGTGCAGACTAGAGACTGGGTCGGCTTTTCCCGTAGAAAGCCAGTCATGGTGAGGAGTTACTGAGCTGGTGTTCAGTTGCTGGCTGGTGAGCACTTCAATTCCTTCCTGCAGTGATGTTCTCCTAAATGACAGTGTCTTGCTTTTAAACTTCTAGTCTGTGGTTCTATTCCTAGTCTGTTCCCCACAACCATTTGGAAGAGTCTAGTTAACGGTCCAGAGCGACCCAGACCCAGGGAGTGATAGAAGTGGACTTCAACAGTGCTCCAATTTTTTTTTTTAATTTTTTTTTTCAACGTTTATTTTTGGGACAGAGAGAGACAGAGCATGAACGGGGGAGGGGCAGAGAGAGAGGGAGACACAGAATCGGAAACAGGCTCCAGGCTCCGAGCCATCAGCCCAGAGCCTGACGCGGGGCTCGAACTCACGGACCACGAGATCGTGACCTAGCTGAAGTCGGACGCTTAACCGACTGCGCCAACCAGGCGCCCCTCCAATTTTTAACGTGTTTGTGAATCACCTGGGGATTTGGTGAAAGTGCAGATGCTGATTCAGTAGGTCCGGGGTGGACCCTGGGGTTCTGTATTTCTAGTGAGCTCCCAGGTGATGCTACGGCTGCTGGTCCAGGGACCACAGTTTAGAGTGGCGAGAGACTGTAAGTTGTGAATCAGGTACACACACAGTAAGACCCCCTGATGTCTTAGTTTTGCATCCTTCCCTTTTTCCTTTACTCTCTGGGGATGATGAAGCCAGGCTCCATCCTTGAGCTCGCCCTGTGCCTGTTTACTCCTCTGTCTGCCTTCCTGGGCGTGAATGGTGACAGTGCTCCTCAGTCCAATGGTCAAGAAGGAACCTCATCCACTTCCCAGTTAATGTTCACTCAGACCATGTTCGTGGTCCCCATTCTTTATAACCCAGAGCTGTATACAGAATTGACGCTCACATTTCCCCATGATGTCTTCTGAGACCACGAAATCTTGAAGCATCTGAGGGCAAACCTGGAGAGTTCCTATTCTGGCTCGATGGAGTTACGGTATCCGGGAAGGGGGGGGTTACAAAGCTCTTAAGGAACGTGGAAAAACTAGAGATGCTTAGGACTTACAGACAGAAGCCATGACCTCTCCATACCAGGAGTGGAGAGACTGGTCCTTAGAGCCTTAATTCAGCAAACTCCAAGAAGGCTATCTGCAGCGTTTGTCCAGTGAAACATTAGGGTTATCACTTTAAGCCTTTTCATTTTCTTACTCCTAACTTGTTAGCCCCGTGTTATCCTGGAGGGGCTAAGGCCTTCCTCAGAGGGCATTCATTCGTGTCTTTCTCCAGTGACACAATTTCAGGCCTTGTGTCTATGCAGGAACTCCCTTCCCAACTGCCACTGTCCTGCAAGGAAGTGGAAGATATGGCTTCACCCTTGCTCATCGCTTACCTGTCTTCCAGTTCTGGCCCACCGTGATGCTTATCTAGTTTTTGAGCCCAGTTATTTCTTTTTGGATTCTCTCTCTCTCTTAAAATCTAGTGTTGCTGTATGCAATGAGAAGTTCCTATGTTCTCTGACTGTAAGTTTGAAGCTCTAAAAGTGGGTTATCTATACTGCTATTTTAAAGCAGATGAATAAATGGTCAGTGCAGTTTAAAAATCTATCCTTGGATTAAGTGAGATTTGGGAGTGGTGTACCCGGTTGCTACTGTATTATGCCGTCCACTTACAACGAAGGCCAGAGTAGGAAGCGGCACAGAGAAAATCCTTGCTATGCTTCAGAGGTGCTGGGGACGCCGTGTTTTGCAAACTGCCATTTAAACAAATGCGGTTCCAGGGGAGAAAGCTCTGTCACTGTCAAGAATAATTATGCTTCTCTTAGGAGACAAGAACATCATGAAACATAACTGGTAAGTTTCCCTTTTTTCTCCTGGTGTTAGGATGCTCACAAATTGGTGACCCACATGTGCAAGAACACCCGACAGCCTTTTTAGGTCTGTGTTCAAGTCCTTATTTTAAAATATTTAGAGACCAGAATACATATGTATATTATGCGTGTATTATGTGTGTATATACGTATACATACATGTATCTGTATATATGTATACCTACATTTGTATATATAAAATATATAATTGCATTGTATGCATTTATGTAATTTATTGTAAAATCCTTTTTGCAAAAAGGCCTAGAATAATCTAATAAAAACCAGTCTCACTTTATATTCCCAACCGGACTGGGCAGAGGCTGTATGTTAGTTGAATCCCAGTAGGGTGCGGATTAATTAATGTCAGTCTGCCTCCCAGCTCTCCAAAGAAGGGAGGTTCGACTTTGGCTTAAAGCTGGCAGCCAGTGGGCCTAAACCCCCGGTCTCCAACCTGTCACCCCCCTCTCTCTAATGCCTTTCTCCCTCCATCATGCCTCCTGCCTCCCTCACTGCCGCCCGCCCTCCGCACGCTGCTTCCAACCTCACCCAGCCCCTCCTCACCCCCCCCGCCCCAGTGCGGCCTCCCTCCATCCTCAGCCGCGCGCGGCCTCCCTGCTCCCTCCA